TACTTGGCATGGTGAGCCGAGTACTGCTGCTGAAACTGCATCTAACAGTCGTAGAGCTGCTGATTCTGGAGCCGCAGCTGCTCGAACTGCTGAGAGAAGTAGTCCTGGTCGGGGAAGCTGGAACTGCCACCCCCGTACTCGAAGGTGGTGGGGCGGGCGGCAACAATATCATCCACGTCCTCGGGCTGGACCTCCTCATCAGCTGCACCCGCTGGAACCTCTGGCTGGACCTCCTCTGGTATCTGAGGTTGAGGAAACCCCTCGATCCACATGACACCTCGCTCTTCCTGAAGCAGTTGCATTTTGTTGATCGTAAACCTGCCAAAGGGAGTGGTCTCTCCCTGCTCTGTGCACCCCTGCAGGGATATCTGGAAGTGTTCTGCCAGACGGGTGATGAGAGGAGTGCAGTGAAGTTTCTTCAGCTCAGAAGCACTCTTCTCGAAGGTCCTCGCCACCACCGAGCCCAGGTGGAGGGGATGATCCCTCTGGCGCATGGACTGGATGAAGTACAGAGATCTCTTGGTGATGGCGCTGGCACTGTCTGAGGCTGGGGTGTAAGACTTGGCCAGCATGTGATGGAGGATGCGGTTGTCGAGCTGCAATGTGCTGGCCTTCGTCTTCCCCGCCTTGAAGGGAAGCTGACGTGGCCGAGCGAGGCTGAAGTATAGCCTCTCGAAGTCCACCCCCGCTGGCTCGGCGCTCTCGGTGAGGTAGTTCCTGTCATTGACCAGGTTGAGGCCGAGGGCGTTCGCCAGCTCGTCGTAGCTCATGGATCGTGGTACACCGCCGAGCCGGAACTGGACGACTTCTTCGTCCTTCCAATCGTCCGTGGCTGCGTGCTCGAAGGTAGTGTAGAACTCGAGCACGAGCTCATGGTACACCTTCTCGCGAATGCTGAGTAGGCGGCGCCAGTAGCGGTTGGTGACAACGGGGGAGAGGTGCTCGTAGCAGTTCAGCGTCTCCAACTCTCGCTTGGACCAGTAATGATGCTGCCCAAACTTGCAAGCCAGGGCGTTCTTAAAACGATCCTGGTGGGGTCCCCTTCTCAAATCTTGAACATATTGATGCCGGAGGTTGGGCTTCGACATGGGGCTCAAACAACCAAGAGGGACTTTGCCCAACACAATTCAAATGCACTCCATGCATTCCCCTCAATCAATTGCACAAAAATCACAAGATTCAATGAGGTTCTCTAAACATGCACCCTAACACCCAATTCTCCACAATTAACATCGTTAAGGGCAAAATCAAACCTGGAGACTCAAGTAGAGGTGTAGGGGAGGATGAGGGGAAGGCGATGGAAGCGACGAAAAGCCGAAAAAGTGCCCGGAAGTGCTCGTCGGAGCCTTGCCGGAGTCTCGCCGGAAATCGCCTCCAGCGACAAAAACGTCGGCCAAATCAGCTAAAAATGGAGGGATAGGCCGCTTTTGGTGTAGGAAGGGTGGGTTTGTTGTTGGTTTGGTGGAAAAATGACAAAAAATGGCCGAAAAAATCGAAAAGTGTGGTTTTGTCGCGGTTTTCCGGCGAGGATCAGAGGATTCCGGCGAGTGAAATTGAATTTTCTGAGGACTCGGCCGTGTCGGCCGAATTTATAGGCCGAGTCTCGGCCACACGGCCTGACTCACACGGCCGTGCCAGGAGCACTTTTGCCCGTGTCGCCCGACACGGGCTGGTCGAGGAATTTTCACTCGGCCGTGCCGAGTGCACATTTGGCCGTGCCAAAATGTGCGAGAGCAAACACGGCCAGGGAAAATTTCCACACGGCCGTGTCACCATCTCATCTGGCCGTGTGGAATTCTGCGAGAGCTCACACGGCCTAACCTATTTTCCACACGGCCGTGTGAAATTCAGGGCTGGCCGTGTGAGCTGCCAGAACTCCTAAATTGACCTGTTTTCACTCCAGAATGACATACAACTCATGAACAACCCCTCAAGACTAAAAAAACACAAAAAATCAAAACGAAAAAGGTAAGAAAATGCAAACCTAGGTGGGGTTGCCTCCCCACAAGCGCTTCTTTACCGTCTTTTAGCTGGACGCCATTCGGTGGATGCTCAGTGAGGTGAAGGTACCTTCAAGAGCGGATCCACCTCGCTCTTGAGGTACAGCTTCAAATGGTGGCCATGCACACGCCGAATGTGGCCACCAACATTTGCCAACTCAACTTGGCCATCCGGCAGGATGCAAGCGAGTGAATACTCGGATGGCCAAGGTGGGGGCGGGACCAGCTCATAGTGGTCTTCGGCTTTCTTTCGAGCAGGCTTAGCTGCCTGCTGTTTCGGCCGCCACTCCTCCCTGATTTGTTCCTTCGATGACGGAGTGGACGGGAGTGGCGGCGAAGGTATGGGAGGCGGATCCTGCAAAATAGGCAACACAGAAGGATACACGACTGACTCGTGCTCCTGGTGAGATACAGCATGCAAAGGCGAAGAAGCAGGGAGAGTATTAGTAATTGAAAATGTTATTCGCTCCTCACCATCCCTCAAAACTAAGGTCCCATCATGCACATCTATGAGGGCCTTGGCGGTGGCCAGGAAAGGCCTTCCCAGTATCAATGGCACATCCACATCCTCATTTATGTCCAAAATCACAAAATCAACAGGATAATTGAATTTGCCAACCTTAACCAGAAGGTCTTCCACTATGCCCCTAGGATGCACGATAGATCGGTCAGCTAATTGAAGGCTCATCCTAGTAGCACGGGGTTCACCTAGGCCTAGTTTCTTAAATAGTTTATACGGCATAACATTGATACTAGCACCTAAATCCGCCAAGGACCTCTCTACATGCAAATTATCTATAGATCGGTCAGCATTCCTCGTTAAGCTCCACAGTGGCCAGCTCGCTCAGCTTCTGCTTCTTTGAGAGAAGATCCTTCAGGAACTTCGCATACTTAGGCATTTGAGATAGTGCCTCCAGGAAAGGTACTTGGACATTCAGCTTCCTAAGCATGGCCATGAAGCTCTCGAACTCTGCCTCCAGCCTGTCTTTGTGAAGCCGAGTAGGGAAGGGGAGTTTAGGGATATACTCCTTCACTACCGGTTGCGGTTTAGGTGCAGGCACCTCAACCTCCTTCTCTGCTTCTTCTTCAGCTGCTGGAGATGCCGAGGCAGGGGCCTCTCTCTCTTGTGCCCGAGCAGGTGGATCAACAGTCATCTTGCCACTCCTGGTCATGATGGCATTGCAGTGCTCATTCGGGTTCTGAGGGTGAGGGATGGTCTGACCGGGCAAAGTACCAGGAGCCCTTTGTGCCACAGCTTGAGCCACACTCCCCAGCTGGGTTTGGATATCCTGCAAGATAGCCTGTGTGTTCCTCTGGCCAGCTTCAAGAGCCAGGAATTTACCCGATGCCTTTTCCATGAACTGCTCGATAGTGTTAAATTTTTGAGCACTAGAACTGGCGAGAGAACCCACCAATTCCCGCAGTTCAGCCATCTGATCATTCTGCGCTGGGGCGGCAGGGGCTGCACCTGGCTGCTGGAAAGGTCGCGGCTGTGATGGAGCAGCATGCCCCTGCATGGGCTGGTAGAGAGACTGCTGCTGCTGGAATTGCCCCTGTCTGGGCTGATATGGTGGCCTCTGGAAGCCCGGTGGTCCCTGGGGGACTGGTGGTCTAGAATTTGCCCCACCCCAGGAGAAGTTGGGATGCTGGCGCCACCCCTCATTGTAGGTGTTACTGTAGGGGTCATTGCGCCTGACATTGTTGATGAAGTTCACCTACTCCTTGGGTGTGGTCGATTCCTTCATCGCCTGGCAGTCTTCCACTATATGATGGGTGCTCTCGCACCACTGGCAGAGCATCGCCTGCTGCTGTCCGGTCCCTGGAATCATCCCGGAACGATCGATAGCTGAAACCAGCTTCGACACCACCTGCACCAAATCAGAGGAATGGTTTCCCACAGAATGTACACCTCGGCTTGGTGCTCTCCTCGACCTCCTCGCAGTGCCCCAATCATACCCGTTCTCTGCCATCTCCTCAAAGAGTTGATTCAGCTGTGGCGGTGTTTTAGTCAGCATGTTCCCGCCACAAACTGAGTCAATCAGCTGCTTATCTTCTGGGAAGAGGGCATGATAGAAGGCTCCCACCTTGAAAGCATCGTTGAAACCATGATTGGGACACCTCAGGAAGAGACTGTTGTATCTCTCCCAAGCATCCCGGATAGTCTCATCTTCATCCTAGGTGAAGTGGGTGATCTGCTTCTGCAAGTCCGCCGTCTTCGACGGAGGATGGTAGCGGGAACTTGTCCGCCAGGTTGGCGAACGTGGTGATGGAGCCTGGAGGTCGAGTGTCTAGCCACTCCTTGGCCTGCCCCTCCAGGGTGAATGGGAAGTACCTCAGCTGGATGGCATCTGCTGGGACCCCGTTGATCTTGATTCCATCGATGAGCTCGTGGAATCGCCTGAGATGTGATCGAGGGCACTCCCCCTCTTTGCCATGGAACACCACTGAACCGCGCAACATGGTGATTACTGAGGTGCTCACCTCAAAATTATTGGCTGGGACATGAGGGTGTTGAATGGGTGACCTCATGTCTGCAGCCCTTGCGGTCCAGTAGGATCCCATGGTCTGCTCTCCAGGATTGACCACATCATGGTCTTGTGGATCAGCCATCTCCTCTTCTTCAGTGATCTTTAGCTGTGCTAGCGCCTCCTCCGCAGCCAGTCGCGCCTTTAGAGCCCGCTTGAAGTTTCTGCAAGTTCGTTCAAGCTCCTGGTCTAATGGTAGTAGATCTCCCGACTGGCTACGGGTCATGCACTACCTGCACACAATCAGCAGAAACAACCCGTGAAGGCACACAGGTGGAGGAGATAAAATGCAATAAATATAAAGCTAGAGTAACAAATTCTCACGTTTCCCCAATAACCTAGAGGTTCCCCGGCAACGGCGCCAAAAACTTGATGCTCTAAAACACAACACCAATCTGCGACCAAGTGTAATCGCAGACCGGGAATGCAGTAAAGTGACAAGTGATATTATCAACCCGGTGTCTAGATTTACTGCTTACTCAGTGATTATCTATTATCTAGCCAACTAAAGTAAGAGATTGTTGTTTGAAAGCAAAAGCAGAAAGAAAGTAGGAATTGGTACGGTTTTCTCAAGCAGGTAAGAGTCACTCGGGAATGAGTCACCCTAGCTCCTTAGTTAGGTTTCAATTGTATTTCCCTGGGTTGATTTACTGTTGATTAGACTGCGGAAGATCCGACAGTAGCTTGGAATCTCTTAAGCTGACCAAGCCCTCTCCGTCTGACTACCCGGCAGACGACTAGTCTTCACCGGGATAGAAAGCTGAAGCAATAAGAACAGAACTCCACTACTGGAATTGGATTCCAGTACAAAGCAGTAAACTGGCTAACTCTCGTATAGCCAATCTCCTACTACCGAATGATGAGACTCTAGCAACCTAATCAGATTCTATCTATCTCAGATTGCAGCAGGAATCAGGAAAAGTTGATCAGACTTCAATTGACTCAATAAACATGCATCATTCGATTAAAATCAAACAGTAATATCATCCCAAGTCATTACAATCAATCCCTAACACATAGAACTAGGGTTCTTCATCCCCAAGTGAGAGAGGGGTTCTACTCCATAGAGAGAGAGAGGAAAACAAGATACAAAGCAGTCATACTCATAATTATGGGAAGAATCTGCTCTGGGATGATGATTTCCACTCCTATGACGATCTCCAAGCTTGATTTGATGAAACCCAGCTCCAAGATAGCTTCTAGGATGTGTTCTTCGTACTTTCTCTCTCTAGGGCTCTATTTTTGCTCAAAAAGTCCGATTCTCTCACTTGCAGCCCAAAATTGGGTTAAAACCAGGATTTCCCGACTCACACGGGCTGGGCCACACGGCCGTGTGGCATACCCAGTTGCCCGTGTGAGTCAAAACGCGGCATATCAATTAGTTCGATCTTCAGGCTTCCCACACTGCCAGGGTCGCACGGCCGTGTGGGATTTCCATCCTGCCCGTGTTTGCTCTCGCATAATTCCACACGGCCAAACCACTCCTTCACACGACCGTGTGGATGTTAGGGCAAGCCGAGTGAAGGCTCGCACAATCTCACACGGCCAAAGTGGTCACTTGCACGGCCGTGTGAGTTGTGGGTGTGCCCGTGTAGCCTCCTTTTTGACTTGCCTCGCGCCCGATCTTCGTCCAATCGACCCCGAACTCGCTCCTAAACCTTCATTCACTTGCTAGGACCTGAAATATCACAAAAAAACACTGAAATCAGCCTAAAACACGAGAATTACCATCTCAAACGGCTCCAGAGTAGGGGTAAAAACATGTGTAATTAACGGTCTATCAGCTGCCCATCGCCACAGCATCCTTAGCATGGTGTGCAACTGCCACCCCGTCCCGCGGAGAACCAGCATTTGTTGGGGAGGAGGCTGCCATTTGGGCTGCAACTTTTCTCAACTTACGAGTCACGCGAGATTTAGTGGGTTGGGCGCGTACATAGGCCTCAACAACAGGAGGCCCACCTAGGGGAGCAACCTCTTCAATTTTTTTCCCCAGGGGCTGGGCTTTGGCCCGCCGAGCTCTCTTCTTAATCAATTTTTCGGTTCTTTCCGCTGGAGGGTCAGAAATAGCCGCGTGGTCAGCTGATGGGGGTTCTTTGCATGGGTTGTTGACACGTTGCATGCATAGCTGGAACCACCACGTCCACCATGTCATCATCATGGTCTTCTTCTAGAATAAGTCGGCGGAGCCGAGATTTCTCATGAACCAGGGCTGACTTATCCCCATTCAGTTTTGGCTCCGACCCCATCCGATATGAGGGCTTTTCCTGGGGGAGGGCCCCCGCCATTGCGTCCGGCAGGTTACGGACAGCTGTGGCCTTTTTATACACCAGTTTCCTTTGTCGGCCACTTCCCATCTTGAATTTGGTGGCACGATTGATGGCAAAACCCCGGGGGATGCTCCGTCGGGATGGCGATCTCCCCAATCCCTTCGCCTGGTTCATCATCGGATACCCAATGGCTCCAGACCCCATTTCAGTTTGTGCAGGAGCCTCCTGCTTCAACCTTGGCGACTGCTGGGTGGTGTTCCTAGCCCCCAAATCCATTTCGCTTCTCCCCGCCACAGGCATAGGGTTACGACTCTGGCGATTAATCCACACCGATCGCCTAGATCCCCCAATAGGATCATTAATCTCCACAAATATTATGTATATTTAAGTTTCATGGCATTGACTATCCTAATGCTATAGGACTTACACACGGGTAAGCATCACATCATTTTAATACATTAGATTGTTCCTTTGCACCCAAATTCTCAATAAATAGTGTTTCAAATTCAAGAACCCTCTTCATACGGTTTGGTGAAAACATTAGGAAAGGTAAATGAAATTCCGGGTTGGATCCAGTCCTTAACCTCATTGTTTAAGGAGGTTCTTAAACTATTTTTATTGGCTGATAATAGATTAGGTAGTTAATGATGGTTAGTAGTTAATATTTAGTTTGAATAAATAAGATATTATAAAAATATAATTAATATTACTCATTACTGATTCTCTTTCTCTCTCCCTTGATCTTTTCCATAACCCTCTCTCTCCACTATAATGAAAAGGAATTCGAAATTAATTTAATGAAATATTATTATTTAATATTTGATAAATTCGAACTTAATAATTTTGTACTTTTTAAAATTAAAATTGAAACTTAAAAATATATGCTCTCTCTTCGTGGCAGCTTGCAATGACATTATCAGCATTTATAAAATGAATCGTTATTATTATACCTCATCACTATTAACGATTTTAATATACTTATCAATTCTTTACAATTATATTATTAACAATTTTGAATCAATTGTTACCGTTTTATGGTTTCGTCATCAACGCCTATGAATGAATCATTAAAATTATGTAACATGATCATTAACAGTTTGAATAACAATATCATTGATTTACAACATCTTTAGTACTAATGATTCACATTTTCACATCATGTTTATAACTATCTAGTCATGACCTCTTTCAATGATTTCTAATGACATTATTAACGTTTTATGATCAATTAATATTGTTTTACATTATCAATCTCAATGATCATAAAACACAATATTGATTTTCAACATCTTGGGTACTTGTGACATAGTGCACCTGTATGATTCAGTCAAACAAACATTGTCAAGAAAAATATTAGCTCAAGCAAACCAACATTCACGCCTCAACACCAAACTTTTAATAACAATACAATAAAGCATTGATAATGAAAAGTATTTCGTTGAAAATAAACACAAAACATAAAATATAATAATATCCGACTTCAACATTATAAATTGACATCAAGCTTTTAATAAAGATATTAAAAACCATTAATAACAAATGAGCAAGTCACTGATAAGGAAATAGATTTTGTAATAAAAAAATATTAATAATATTCAAATTAATTGTTTAATGTCAAATAGCACTAAAACACATTAATAACTAACATGTGTTTAATGGATAATGCAACAAAAACTTTGATAATGATAGCAACTAATAATTGTTAAGTACCTTACTAGATATTATTAATATCTTAGTTTTTCAAACATTGATAATGCTAATACACACCCATTAATAATGACACCAACTACGTTACTAACTTAGCCTGAAAGGTTAATAACCATAGTTATATCATTAAATACAAATCACTTTTGCTAATGTCATAAACAAACGAATACCTAACAAGTATGCTTCTTGATAATGACACTTGACAAAGTTACAAACATAAACGGAAAAATGTTATAATACAAATCAATGAAATAAATTGTTGTTAATTGTTGTATTGTGATTGCAAAAAACATTGATAATAGCACTTCAAATGATTATAAATCATTGGGAACCAAATTGATAATACGATGTAATAGTAAATGAACTTCAAGTACCAACAAATTGAAAACACAATTTCACTTTTGCTAATGTTACAAACAAAACAAAACATAAAAAGTTAATAATGTCACATAACATTATTAAAAAACCTGTCGAACAACATTAATAATAACATAAACGAATATCTAAAAACGAAAAATCCTAAACCCATGCAACGAAAAGCCCTAATGATGATTCAAATTATAAATATTGATAATGTCATTACAAAATGTTGATACTAAATTGAAAGTTGCCAAGATGTGAGAGAAGCCATATATTTTAAATTTTAAATTTCCATTTTAAAAAAAGGAAAATTATTAAATTCGGATTTCATTAAATTTTAAATAAAAATTAATATTGTATTTTTTTATATAATGTAGAGAGAGGGTTATGGAGAAAATCATGGGAGGAGAGAGAAAGATAATCATTAATTAATAATATTAATTATATTTGCATAACCTCATTTACTTTTATCTACCTATTAACTACTAACCCCCTTTAACTACCTAGTCCACTATGAACCAATAGGAAGGCTTTAAGATTCTCCTTAAGGAATGAGACATGGGGTCGTTTGCTTGTTGGATTTGGGTAATGGATTTGGTACCCAAATCCCAAGCTTGATGGATTTAACATAAGTCCATTGTTTGTTGAAGGGTGCTAAATCCGTAGGGTCCACAAATTTGGTCTTTATTTTGGAACCAAATCCGTGGACCCCACGGACTTGTAAATCCCACATATTGATTTGGCATTTGCAAATCCTTGATGGTTAGTTATTTATTTAACAAATCCATCATCAAATCTATCATGCAAACATTAGACTCTTCAAATCCATAATCCAATAAATCCAACATAAATCCCAAGATTTTTATTGGCCAAAACCCTCATTTTTCAAATCCGACAATCAAACGAAGAACTTGAACTCAAGCCATGAAATTTACCCGTGCTACCCAAAATAGGTTAATGGAAAAGAGACATAGAATGTGGGGAAAATGGAGGATGAAGTGATGAACACAACATGTGCGTGTCCTTTTGATTTTGACAATACAGAACATGTGATGACTGATGAGAGTATGTTAATGCAAGAACAATTCAACATTAATCAAATACTTAGCCCGTTTTCTTAATATATAAGGCTATAATTGAATAGACCAATTTTTACTGTACTCTAAATTAAAGTATTGGTACTTTGAGATACAGATTGACTTGTACTATAACGTTAAAGTTACAATTTTAATTTGTATCATAAATGAATTTGTATTTTTATGTTATGACACAAGTTTAGTTTGTACTAACATACATGTACAAAATCTTTTTATGTTATGACACAAGTTTAGTTTGTACTAACATACATGTATAAAATGTTATTAATTAACCAAATCTTTCATAATACATCAAAATATTAACCAATTTTAGTTAATAATTTTGTAACTTTTTTTTATGAATCGATGGGATCTTTATTCATAAAAAAGGGTTGTTAGCAACTGCCCTGCTAAGTAGGCTTAATCAACCTATAAGTACGAACAAAGCAAGAACAAAACCTATCAAAATTGAATCTCTAAGGCAGATTAATTAACCAAAACAAGAGACGCTCTGCAAACCCAACACACACTCTATCTCTCCCCGAATAGCTTTCAACAAAACCTGATAATCCCTAACTTCTCCTGCATACAGCCTCCTGCATCGCTCTCTCCATATGTGGCTCACCCACGCCTGCCAGATAACCACCCTGATTCAGCAGCTTCCATCAGTCCACCAAGTTTCCTAATCAAGAAACTCAGCAACCCTTCCCAATCTTGCACCCTAGGCATCTGTAGAAACCTGCAAATTAGCGCAGCAAACAACTGCCTCGAGAACGAGCAATGAACATACAGGTGATCCCTATCCTCTATCCCTGATTGGCAAAGACAACATGATAGATCACCCGAAAATCCCCATTTCAACATCTTCCTTTTTGTGTTAATGCTTCCCCTGACTACCAGCCATGTGATAACCCTGTTTCTAGGAATAGCCACTCCCTTCCACAAGATTTTCCACCATGATACCCGTTGCTGATAAGGACGAAGTGACTTCCAAACCTTCCTGATTGAGTATCGAGGCATAGCAGCATTATCAAACAAGATGACATTATCACGGACTGAGATCATTGCTTCCACCCTACTCCTCATCTTCAAGAGCTTCCTCCAGTTCTATGATCCTGATGTACAGGAATAGGACCAGAGATCCCTGCTCTTCAATTTATATTGAGTGATCCAAGCCACCCATAGAGAGCCTTCCTGCAATAATATTAACCATATGTGTCGGATCATACAGGCTTGGTTCCAACTATACATATCCTTGAAATTCTTTTGTAACTCTTTGCTTAGTTAAAATAGTAAAATTTTGGAATGTTGACCTTCATGTGTCTCTTCCAAGTCAGTATTATATTGACAAGTCAATATCACTAAAATAATTGTTAACTGAAAGTTAACATTTAGCTGATTCTTAGTATCTCAATAGATTTGGATAACATATAAGAATTTAGAAATTTTTGGATAAAAAATATACATTACCCAATAATTAATTACATCTGCACTACAAAAGAAAGGTGAAGTCGCGCAAAAAGTTTGGTACAAAACATAACACATGCATCAGCACTCGATCTAGGAACCATTGCACCAAATAGTTAATCTCTACTTTAATTACCTTGTTCACAACGCAACACAACACATCATGTTCAATGCATAGAATAAGTGGCCACTAAATTTAAATTTTCCAATTGGCGATAATGCCTCCTTTAAATATCCTTTACCACTCCATTCGCCCCTCCAAAAGGACAAAAAGAACGATCAAATCAAACTCAACGTACAATAACATGCCTTCCTCCTTATCATCATTCCCTTTCACTCCACTCCTCCTCGTACTCTTAACCGCCGCCGCCGCCGTCCCATCTCCGCCGTCACCGCTGGTCCATGACATCTGCAACCAAACCTCCTCGCCCTCTCTCTGCGTGGAGGCGTTCTCCGCCGACCCACAAACCACGACCACCACGAACAACAAGACCGCGATGGTCGGCACAGCTGTCCGGCTGGTCGGCAACACATCCGGTTCGACCTACATCTACATCTCCGACCTCACGAACCAACCCCCTCGGCCCGTGGGCCGGGCCGGTCAAAAGCGGCTGCACATATGCGGGATGTGTTACCTGTCGGTCAGTTACGACATGTTGCTTCTCAGCAGCGCGCTGAGCGACAAGTCGTACGGCGCGCTGGCGTCACAGGCGGCGGAGGTGGCGGCTCAGGCCAGGAGATGCGACGCTGCATTCTCCAAGTCCACGTGGCAGCCCATGGGGAATCGGAACAAGATGCTGGTGGTTCTTTGCGAGGCTATTAGGGTTCTTTGCCGCTCCATCGGTCATTAACTGTCGTCGGTTATTGGAATATTGAGTGGAAATGTAGAATCAATTAGCGGTTAAGTTAAAAATAATTTAATAATTGTGGGTACGTACTACGTGGTACGTACGTGGTTATATCATATATGTACTGCATGCATGTTTGAGTTAAATCCTCAAATTAATAAGCCTTTTGGGCTTGTGAGTCCATATTAAACGAATTAGCCATTTGGGCTTGTGAGCCCATTTTTATTTGACAAGAGGAAATGCAGGCCCGGCCCTCCAGTTTCCAAGGCTGAAAAAGAAGCGCGGGAAGGAAGTATAGGAATCGAGTAGTTTATTAGCATTTGCTGAAATTCCCGCCAGATGTAGACGATAGTGACGGGATGGCCTTCAAGTTGAATTCCGCCGCCCCAAGTTTCTGTCTCTTTGGGATGAATCGCAGCTACCTCTCCTCTCTTTCTTCCCTCTCCACTCCCGATTCGAACCCAGCTGCTCATCTACCGCCTCTGCCTCCCGGCTATTTACTCACCTCGCTGGAGTGCAACATGCAAGCAAGCTGTTCGACGAAATGCCTCACCGAACTTTTTCATACCCACAATCCGTGTTCCGCTTGGCCTTGTGCACAATAGTGTGTTTCTGCAATCTGGAAGCTCGTTTTCGACTATGAATGACTCAACCTTTGTCGCTGATCCTCCCCTCCGCGATCTGTGGCCTTGTCGAGGTTGGTAAATGGTAATGTCCACAAGGCTGGTCATGTTTTTGATCGCATGGTGCATAGGGATAGAGATGTCTTCTCTTGGACCAGTTTGGTTTCCGGCTGTTTAAAGATTGGGGGATGTCGATGAGGTTCTTTTTCCGTTTCATCTAATGTCGGACAAGAATGTGGTATCCTGGACGGTTACTGTTGCGGGTTGTAAACAGAATGGTCACATTGATCAAGCTCGTCAATTTTTTGATCTGAAGCCTCATAGAAATGTCGTTTCTTGGACTATAAGGGTCAATTCGTGCACTGACGTGGACCCAATTGATGAGCCTTGTCAAGTTTTCAACTTGATGCCAGCCTCAGAGAAATCCATGTTCTTGAAAATTTATGCTGTTCGGTTTTCTTTCTGCTAATAGACTGGACGAAGCAGTTCAGCTATTTAATTCCATGCCTCAAAAGAATGAGATATCTTGGACGACAATCGTCAGTAGTCTGCCAAGCACGGGATTTTGATGGAGAATATTTTAATGCAATGCCTACAAAGGACACAGACGCATGGAACTCCATGATCACAGTATATGCTGAACATGGCATTGTAGCTGAAACTAGTAAGCTTTTCACTTCTTTGCCAATAAAAAATATTGTTAATTGGAATGCTGTACTAGATGTGTATGCAAGAAATGGTTCTCAAGGTCAAGCCTTGCATCATGTCTCCCTGATGCTGCAATCGAGTTGCAACCCATATGAATCTTCTCTGACTAGCATCTTGTCTTCCTGCAACTCCATATTGGAGCTCATACAGACTCGTGCCTTGATTGTCCTTCATGGGTTTGAGATTTACTTATTTCTAGCGAATGCTCTTGTCACCGCTTATTCCAGATGTGGGGATCTCCAATCAGCTAGGTTTGCTTTTGACCAGATCGAATTCAAGGACAGTTTCTCAGACTGCAATGCTTTTAGCTTACTCAAACCATGGATATGCTCAACATGCACTGCTAGTTTTTGCACTTTTTCACTTTCTGAGATCTGGATGCAAACTGAAAAAATTGCATATCGTGGAGTCTTATTAGCGGATAACCGCGCAGGTCTTGTCTAGAGAGGTCAACAGCTTTTTGATTCAGTGAGTGGTATATATGGAGTAGAACCAAGTGCTGAGCAGTATTGGTGCCTTGTGGACATTCTAGGTAGGGCAGCAAGTGAGTAAAGCCACGGAAGTGGTTTCTAAAATACCGCAGCATGAGCTCGATGGTGCTGTATTACGAGCATTGTTGAGTGCTTGTAGATTGCATGGGGATGTGGCAGTGACAACTCAGATGGTTGACGAGCTAAACAAGTTGGAACTAACAAACTCTGGGCGTTACGTGCTGTTGGCTAATATATGGACCAGGTAGTAAGTTGAGTGAGTTTGCACAATTAAGAAAAAAGATGAAGGAATGTGATGTCAAGAAAGAACCAGGCTTTAGTTAGATACAAAGTGTAGGGAAGAAGCATATGTTTTTGGTTGGAGACGGATTCCATCCGCAAGCTAAGGAAATCTTTAGCTTCGTTAAGGAGATGATGCTACCCATGATCAAAGAGTGCAATGATGATGCTCCAACAACCATCCCTGAACTAGCGTATTAAGATGATATTCCATTGAGGGCCTAGGTGAAGTGGCTCGGAATCATTTCTTTTCCCGATCAATGGATTCACTTGTTAATATGTGATGGATAACTTATTTCTGATAGTTCAGGGAAACTAAGTTGAATCACTGATGAGAAAATCAGATAGAAAAGAATTGAAATTTCCATTAATTTTATGCGTTGTTCCATGTCCATATAGAATCATTTTATACACCCTTATACAGACTTTTCTATTTTTGTATTCTGCGCAGCTTGCAGCTTGGTTGGTTTGGACACGCCTATCAGACGCCTTCCAGAAATTGTTGTGCTCATAAATCGACGTAGACGTCTCGAACTTGTGGTTGTCATCTCACATTCTGTAGCCATGCAAATGCTTAGCCCATCTTCTAGCCATGTACGGATTATGGTAATCCCAGCTCTCAACACTACTAGTCCTTCCACTAACCATACTCGCATCCCTCTCAGAAGCTTCCACGTCACTACCATGAGTCTCACTTTTCTCTCCTAAACTCACCACAGCTTCGCCTGTCCTTGTACATTCATCAATCCCACCCTCACTGTAGCTGTACTCCACTGAGATCACCTCCCCATAATCTCCCAAATCCAACAGGAACCGCCTCTCTTCACCACCTCTAAGGTCACCAAGCTTCATGATCTTGCTCCTATCGCCACCGATTCTCAGCTGAACATCTCTTATAACACCTCCAAGTATCCCCCCCAAGAAGTCCTCAAACTCATGCATCACGAACCCATTCGAAGCACCAAATCCGAATCCCACATGGAACCGATGGACCGGAAATGAAGTATGCAGAGCTACAACATGACATGCTCTTGTTGGTGTGTCCGAAAGATGCAAGATGCCGCAATGTGGGTTCTTGTGTGCACGATCTTCCAGCACTTTGATCCCCTTCTTCAGCCCTTCACTTGGATCAGCTTGTCCCATGTAGAATATCCGGTCGATGACTTGAAGTGCTGTTCTTTTGCCGTATGACGTCATTCGCCTCAGAGGGAAGACTCTGGCTGCAGCGGAGGAGTACGTCACAATGGACAAACGGTCGATCGGTCGAAGAGAGAAGACAACCAATGCCATGGACTGCTTGAGAAGACGTAAATGTGGACCATTGGGGCTAGCAACGAGGACCAAGTCGGTTGCTGGTTGGTTTATCAGTTTCACTGAAAGACAAGCAGTAGCTGTAGCATTAGCCGCTGTCATTCTTCTGTTGAAATGCGAAGATGATGTTCCTGGTAGAAGCTGTGAGTGATGTTGCAGGGAGAAATGAAGGCGGGAAATGGTGGGGATGTGGGCCGGGTCAACTGGGTCGTCGTCGTCGTAACGGGCGGAGCGAAGGAAGGACCGGCGGTGGACGCGGAAATGGGCTATGGACTCATCGAGGATCTGAAATACCGGGTCGTTTTGGGTGGAGGGAAGGCAACAAGGTGGGTTGTTGAGATTGCGGGGGAGTTGGGTCCAATGGGCCCGGCAGATGGGGCAGGTGACACTGCCATGGCGGACGTTGGAGGAAATGCAGGCGAAGTGGAAGGCGTGGGAGCACTGAGCTGTGAATATGGCTTGACCTGGACTGTCCCCGTTGCTGTAGTTCAAAGCTTCTAGGCATATTGCGCACATGCTCTGCTGCCACCAAACAGAAACAATAACACAAGGTTAGATATCACTAACAAACACACGGTTCGATACTCATTACTTAGTCCTTTTTACATACACGCGTGCAATCTGTGGCCACAGGAATATGAAATTGTATAGTACTGATGTGGTCCTATTGTTAGGATTGTTTGTTTCGGCAGGACTTGGTGGGAATTCATGCAATCATTATTATAGGGGTTGTGGGGTGAAGGGACCTTTAAGGCAGTGGGATATGCAATGATGATGAGGGTTTAGAATGTTGAGCATTCACATGGCATACTGAAATCATGCGGTGGGTAATTGGTATTAATTTAGAGCCAGTATAACTGTATAAGCATAGGTACACCTTCATTTTCTGGTGGTGATTTGAGGGAATGGAGATTTGTTGAACTTGAATGAATGAAGATGAACTTTTCCTAATGTAATTTTATATATTACCATAAAGAAAAGGGAGTAGCTAGCCTCATTTGTAAGAGAATAGAGTGGGAAACCAGGGAAGAATCTAGACCAGAAAAGTAAGTAGAAATAGGAAACAGAGAGGACAACACGAATATTTGTCAACATTGATCACTTGCTAAAGCAAGGGGGAAAGAACAGCAGGGCAAAGTTAAGGCATTGGATTCCTATAGTGAATGTAACGGCTGATGAATGCTTTTTACAACGGAGACAAACAGTTTTCTGCTTACCTTAGAATTCACGTTACTGGTAATGTTGTCCTTGAAGTTGTGGATGATGGTGTCTTGATCATCGTATTCCTCTGGACTATTTGTAGTTGAAGAGGCTGCTGTTGTTGGACAAACTGATGAGATCTGTCAACATAACTAGCAGAGTATTAGCTCACGCCTAACTAATTTTTTGAACAGGAAATTCATAGACAGGGACAGATGGAGAGAGAGAGAGAGAGATGAATCTGCCGATTTCTGGTTGCATGATCAAAGACAGAAAATTTGAAGTATGAAATGACTGATAAGGCTTAACAAGGCCGAAGAACATACGCTAGGCACATATAGAAGATAAATACATGAATAAAGGAATATGCTTTATTATGCGTTTGATTGAGGAGGTGAAGAATGAATGAATGAATGAATGAATGAATGAATGAATGAATGAATGAATGAGGAAAACTAACTAACAATAAACCCTGTCATGCAAGTTTGTTAGGAAAGGAGAAACCTTGGAGAATGCAGCAGCAGAAGAAAGATGGAATCGGGAAGAGAGAAGTGGAGTTGACGGACTGACTTACACTGAGAGAGGAAGAATGAATGGTAGAAGGAGGAAGAGGAGAAGAAGACATGGTAGAGGAGGAGAAAGAGCCACATGCTGCCACCACCATTTTCCGGGCTACCTTCTTCAGCTTTGAGCTTCTGGTACTTCCTCCTCCCATCACTGCTTCTGCTGTTGGTTTTATTTTTACAGAATGAATTGAGTGAAATTAAGAACAACAGTATAGGCTTCTGGGTATTGAAACTGAAAGTGGGAGATTTATGTGGGTATATATAACAAGGGGGAGGGAAGGGAAGGGAAGGTGTTTGATAGGAATGAAGGGCAGACAAAAGCTTCCCTCCCCTGCAGATTGATTGCTCTGCTATTTGTTCAAAGCATCACCACCAGCACCATTACTCCCTCAGCTTTTTCTTTATGGTTTCTTTGGGCGAATACCATTTCTGACATCAATGTATCGTTAAAAGAAGCCAATACCATCACTTTCGAAGTCGCCCCCACCCGACGCTTCCCTTTATATTATTTCATTTTCAAACTTGGAATAGCCCCACACGCCCGCACCCTTCCCCACCATTTCTATACTTTCTTTATTATCTCTAAGCTAATTGACTTGACCGCACTTCTTGACCATTGTCATTGCCCTTATTTTCACTGCCCTTTCTCTACCTCTTCCTAGTAATAATGCTCCCAAATTGCTTTTCCTTCTCTTCTCTTCTCTTCCTCAATCCTCACCAACCATCTCGTTTTCACCTTTTCCTTGTTCTCTTTCAATTTCCCCGCTCACCTAGCTGGCTTTAGAGTTTCACGATTCAATTTGAGATTGTAAACTACTCTGAGTTATGGTACACACATTTAAATAAAGATGTACAATTTCACAAGCTAAGCTCAATTTGTTTGAGTTGATATTAGGTTCAAATCGACTTAATCAGTATATGATTTTATTTCACTGGATTTAAGTTTTATTTTTTCTTTTCATTAGATCTTTATAAAAGTGAAGAAATAGACAAATCAAAGACTCAATTGAATCGTTTTAGTTATGTTTTCGATCTAGTTTTGACTCTCCTATCTCTTTTTCCACTTTGATTCTACGATATGCCATAGGTTGATTTGGTTTAGTAACATGACAGTCTCTGCGGTTTTTTCTCCCAGATCTCTGTGTGTCAGCTTTTTATTCAAATCTTTGTATTTAAGTTTAGATGTAAATTTAGAGTAAAGAAATTAGCCAAGTAACACCAAAAGTGGTAATTAATGTCTAATAAGTCAAACAACGCTTAGTTATTCGTTGATCACTTGTGATTAGTGATTACTATAACCACTTCACAAGCTCGACATTAAAAATTACGGTCAAATGATCCCCTTCGCCGGCCCGAGACATTCATATGTTAACACAAAACAAAAATGGGCTGATTTTGATTATATAAGATAGGAGACGGCAGAGCATATATATAATAAACTCCAGGGTGATGATCGCTCGGGATGGAGTAGTATCAAACACTTTAAATAATGAAATGAAATGAAGAATAAATGTGTGCATGGTGATAGGTGTGGCGAGGTAGCTGCTCATCATCAAGATGATGATGATTCATGAGGTAATGTTGAGCTCCCTAAGCATGGCGACCACCTGCAACATGTTCGGCCTCTTAGAAGGGAAATCGTCCACGCACTGCAGCGTGATCTCCAGGTACCTCACCATTTCCTTCACCTCTTCCCCGGCCTCTTTTTCTTCATCCTCCTCCTCTTCTTGCTGCTGCTGATGGTCGTGATTATCTTTACTGCTACGAACCTGCGTCGGCAGAAGGTCGGGATCAATCACTTCTATCTGCTTCCCTTGTCTCACCATCATCTTCACCCACCCAACCAAGTTGGTGTCCCCGAAGTCCTCCTTGTCCGTGGGCCGCTTCCCTGTCACCAGCTCCAACAGCACCACTCCGAGAGAGTAGACATCTCCCTTGGCCGTGCACCGGAAACTCTGATAGTACTCCGGGGGCACATACCCGGGAGTCCCTGCCAGGGTACTCACGCTGAGATGTGTGTCCAGCGCGCTGATGAGGCGTGCCATCCCGAAATCCGAAACCCGAGCCTCCATCTCCTTATCCAGAAGCACATTGCTTGACTTCATGTCCCTGTGGATGATGTGAGGGATGCAGTTGTGGTGAAGAAAGCAGAGACCTTTCGCTGCCCCTCTTGCTATCTTCTTCCTTTCCTCCCACGTCAACACATCCGCCCCACCCTTGGTATGCCTCCTCCCGTGCAGCACTTCCTCCAAGCTCCCGAACGGCATGTACTCGTACACCAGTAGCCTCTCTTCCCCGACTTTGCAGTACCCTAGCAGTGGCACCAGGTTTCGGTGCTTGATCTTCCCTAGAGTCTCCATCTCAGCCATGAACTCCCTGTCCCCCTGGCAGCTGAGGCGGATGAGCTTCTTGATCGCCACGCACGAGCCATCTTTGAGTGTAGCCTTGAACACCTCCCCGAACCCACCGCATCCAATCATGCTTTCCCCTGAGAACCCGTTGGTGGCCTCGATCAACTGAGAGAATTTCAGCTTCCTCAGGTTCCTCTGGAAAGTCGCCACGTTGATGCTCAGTGGCTCCTTCTCCTTCTCGATCTTCCACGTCGTGGCAGCGTGGGATGCCTGCAGGCTCTGCAGCATCTTCGCCTCTTGTGCCTCCTTGTGCCTCACCCTCATTGCTATGGCCCACACCACAAGGATGCAGACTGAAGCCACCGAGATGAGCACCCCTAGCACCACGCTGTTGGCCCACGTGGATGCCTTGGAAGATGATCTCCTACTGGCTCCTCTCGAGGTAGCATCTTGATTGCTGCTGGAGGACATAACTACCCTGCATTCAGGCAGGGGAACGCCGCAGAGGCCAGGATTGTTTGCGTATTGGGTGGCGGGAAGCGTGCTCAACTGTCCTAACTGTGGAATCTGCCCTGTCAGCTCGTTATTGGAGAGGTCGATCTGGACTAAGAATGAGAGATTGGAGAAGGAATCAGGGATTTCTCCCTGAAGCCGATTGTGGGAGGCGTCGAAAACTCCCAAGTTCTTGAGCTGCCCGAGGGATGCAGGGATTTCCCCTGAAAGCCGGTTGTGGGAGAGTTCCAGGACTTGGAGAGCCATCATGTTCCCAAATTCGTCAGGGATCTTCCCCCGGAGCTCGTTGTAGGAGAGATCCAAGTACTCCAGGGTTTGGTACTGCGTGAAAAGGCTCAACACTGGCCCTGAATACAACCTCGTGAAATCACACGACTTGAGTGTAGGGATCTGAAGCAGTCTTTCAGGTCTGATCCCTGCAAATTCCAGAAGTCCACCCACTCCTTTGCAAGAATTCCCGACGTTTCGGACGAACACAATGGTGCTCCCGGAAGGGATTGCGGTTAGGGCTTTGGAACCGAGCTGGCGGCCCAACCGCGGAGGGATCTCACCCGTGAGCTTGTTGCTGTTCAAATCCAGCCACACCAAGCTGCTGCAATTCCCGAGCTCCGGCGGTATCTCCCCGCTCAAGCTGTTATTGGCTAGTTGTAGAACTGCAAGTCTCGGAAGGAGCCCCACTTGATTTGGGATTTGGCCGCTGATCTCATTGCTGGTGAGGGATATCCACTCCAAGTTACTGCAACCGAAGAGTTCCACCGGAATTGGCCCGCTCAGGTGGTTATTGTTGAGGATCAAATCCTTCAGGTTCCTGCATTTCCCCAATTCCGGAGGGATTCCGCCTTCCAAGCCGTTGAACCAAGCAATGACCTGCTCCAGGTTCTCCAGGTCTCCAAGCTCGGGAGGGATGGAGCCGTTGAGGTAGTTCAAGCTAAAGTCTATGGCTTTGAGCTTGGAGCAGCGAGAAAGCTGAGCCGGGATTGGGCCCGAGATGAGATTGTCTGGTAATCTCAGCTCTTGGAGGGAGGAAGCACCAGGGCAAATGTCAGGAGGGAAAGTGCCAGAGAATCTGTTGGAGCTGAAATCGGCCACCTTCAAGTTTTTGCAGTAAGAAAGTGAAGGCGGGAACTGTCCAGAGATGAGGTTGCTGCTCAACAGCAGAGTCTCCAAGGAGCCAAGGCTTTGCAGGATGGAATCAGGGAAGGGCCCAGAAATATTGTTGGTGGAGAGGTCGAGGAGCTGGAGGTAGGAACAAGAGGACAGTGAATCTGGGATGGAGCCGGAAATGTTGTTAAAGGAAAGCTTGATCTCGAGGAGGGAACCGCAGGCTTCATGGAGATCAGAAGGGATCCATCCAGTGAGGTGGTTGTGGGAGAGGTCGAGATGCTGGAGGGCTCGAAGCTGGGCGAGGAGGGAAGGAGGGATGCTGGAGGATAGGAGGTTGAATGAGAGGTTGAGTGTTTGAAGGGAGGTGCAGTTGGAGATGAATGTCGGAATTGTGCCCACAAGATGGTTTTTGGAGAGGTCCATGTGGATCAATGATGGGGTGGGAGATGTGATCTGGAGGAGGGAGGTGATAGGTCCAGTGAAGTTGTTGTCGGAGAGGTCAAGGAATTGGAGGCTAGAGGGGATGAAGGATGATGATTCAGCAGTGGGGGTGGTTAAATTGTTGTGTGACAGGTCGAGTTGGAGGAGGTTGGGATGGGATGTAAGGAATGTGCTTGGGAAAGGGCCAGTGAGGCCCGTGGAATGGAGGTGGAGGTGCTGGAGGGAAGGAGGGAGGCGGAGAAGAGATGTTGAATTGGTGAGGGTGAAGTTGTTGGAGGATAGTTTGAGGGAGGAGAGGAGTTCCAGAGAAGAGAAACTGTCGAAAGAGATGGAATCGGCAGCGAGAGCAGCGGAGGTGAGATCAAGCTGAGTGACCCGGCCGAGGTAGCATGTCACTCCAAACCAGGAGGAGGAGCAGGGGTTGTGAGCAGGGAGCCAGCCGGAGAGGACATTGTTGGGGTCGGAGTGGATCATGCGCTTGAACATGAGGAGTGCGGCTGCATCCGTCTTTATAGAATGTTGGAATTGCTCTCCCGCGACGACGATGACTAGCAAACCGTTGAGCAGCAGCAGCAAGAGTGCGTTGATGGCCATGGAGGAGTAGTAGTGGTAGTATGAATATGCAGGGGAATCAGAAGGAAGGTGGAGGGAGAGTGAGTGTGGAAAATGGAGATGGAATGCATGACAGATGAGGAATGCGGGTGCATTTATCAAAGGAAAGGGGGAAAAGCAAGCAAAAGGAGGGAACTTTCAGAGTTAGTGAAGCGGGAATGATGGGAGTGTGCAGTAATGTGTAATCATGATATCCAAATGCAACTATTAACTATAATAAAAGGTGAATAAAGGAGCAGTGGAGTGGAATAATAATGATGGAATGTGTAGTAAACGGTAATGCGTAATCATCATCACGATCAAAGACAGACAGACAGAAAAATCTTCACAAGACTGATAAAGGTCAAAAAAGATGGATACCATAGCATGCCAAGGCCACCACCATATGTAAAACTCATTCACTAACTAACAAAAAACTTTCTGTTATGAAATATTGTACGCAGGGAAGTAGAAGACTTGTAGAAAGCTGCAGCAGCAGCAGTAGCAACTTATCAGCAGAAGAAGAAAGATCGGGACTGAGTGACTTACCATTACAGAAGTAGAACGAATGCTGGAACGAGGAAGAGGTGAAGCAGAAGACTTGGCAGAGGAGGAGAACGAGCCGCAAGCAGCCACCACCATTTTCTTGGCGAGTCCCTTGAGCTTTGAACTTCTGGTACTTCCTTCTCCCATCACTGCTTCTGCTGCTGTTTCTGTTTTCCCCCCAGAATGAATGAAATGAAATGCAACAGCAGCAGACGAAGAAGGCAAGAAGAACAGTTTTGGCGTTCTGGGTTATTGGAACTGGAAGTTGGGATGGAGTTTTTATATGGGTATATATAGAATAAGGAGGAAGCAAATTGAGGTGGTCGTTTGATATGAATGAGGAAGAAAAAAGAGCAGACGATTGAAAGAAAGCCTCTCTCTGCCTTCTTCTGCAGCTGGTATTTCTTTTTGTTCAAATTAAGGCAGCAGCTGCAAGCATCATCCCGCCCCCACCCAGGTAGCTTTTTCTTTTCTTTATAGGGTTTCTTTCTTTCTTTGGCTGGGCGAATAATACTGAATAGATTAGCATACCCTTCACCATCTACCACACAGGACCATGATTTCATTTTTAAAAGCACCCAAACTTCAAAAAGTAAAAGAGAGGAGCTGCTGGAGAATCAAAGCACCGTTGGGTTGTTAATATTTCAAAGTCTTCTCAACCTAGAAATTTCAGTCATGCATCATTGATGAATAGTCACTACTATTATTATCATCATGTTGTCTCTTGAGTCAATTGGCTGTTTGGATCTCAGCTTAGCATCCACAAAATCATTTTGAATTATGCAAATCTCTGTAAATATGTCAAACCGGTTTATATCGTAATGCTGGTTTGATGATTAGGGATGTATAAATTCATTAAATTCTTAATGAACTTAGACATTTAAAGAATCTCTCTAAAATTTACATTCATATTTAAATAAAATATTAAATGTTAAATAAAATAAAAAAAATCATCATATTTAACTACAACATTCTAAACTAACATCCAAAAGTTTGTACTTGAATTCAACAAATAACATAAACATCTAAATATTCATAATTGAATCCAACAAATAATATCAACATCTTTCAAATTCAAGAAATAAATCAAAATTTATTTTTTTGTTACCTAAACTCACCAAAAGGACGACAATTTGTTTAAAGATCGGAAGTTGATTGGGAAAGTTTCTGCCCAGTTTTGTAATAGGTGCCGGTTAAATAGGGATGGCAAAAATATCCGTAATCGCGGATATCCGCCCGAATCCGATCTAATCGGGTATGATAAAATCTGAATTCGAAGGACCTTTAGTGGATACGGGTAAAACCCGAACCAGAATATTGCGGGTAATGAGTGGGCATGGTTTTCTCACTATCCAACCTGAACCCGCCCGATTATAACATGTATATTTATTTTGTTTAGAAATAATCATTAATTTTCTCTAACATATTTTATATTTAGCATATAAATATAATATTTTCGTGAAATTGTGTTATTTTAATTAATTTTCTTCATTCTAGTGAATTATTCTCGTACTTTTACGCTTATGTAATGTGAGAATATGTGTGAATGGTAACATATTGGTTGAAGTTATAAAGAGAAATTATTATCCATGGATAACCGTGGATACCCGAAACCCGAACGGGTCTGGGCATGATTTTGATTTTGTACTCGTTTCTTATGTGGGTATGGGTAAAACCCGAACTCCTTTGGGTAGTGTAACGGATATGCACTATCCGCCCCCGACCTGGCCCATTGCCATCCCTACGGTTGAATCCAGTTGTATTGGCTGACACTCCACCGACATGACAGCCATGATAAATACCATCAATGACAAATGACTAAATTACACGTTTGGTCACTCAAATTACATAAATCTTTCACGTTTGCCACCGTAATTATTTTTCTTTCTTATTTGCCACTAACTTTACAAATCGTTTCACAATTAGTCACTAGTCGTGAGTCCCAGTTAACTCTGTTAGTTTTTCAAATGGCAAACGAAACTGCTAATTTGACCGTTAACTAATGACATGTAAATTTAAAAAAATTAAAAAATTAATCCTCTACGTATAGGTGTCAATCGGGCGGGTTCGGGCGGGTTCGGGCTGGGTTCAATCGGGTTCGGGTTCAAACGGGTTGCGGGTTAGTCGGGTTGCGGGTTCATCAGGTTCGGGTTCATCGGGTTCGGGTTCAAACGGGTTGCGGGTTAGTCGGGTTGTGGGTTCATCGGGTTCGGGTTCAATCGGGTTGCGGGCAAATCGGGTTGCGGGTTCATCGGGTTTTGGGTTGGGCGGGTTGCGGGCGGGTTGGGTTTCGGGTTGTTCGGGCCAGCGCATCAAGTAACTTAACTCATTACTCATTACCAACTTACACATTTTATTACACTAATTTAAAATATTTCCTCAACTTTTTAACCAATTTATTTCTACCTCGTATATATATACTTTATTTTTTTGAAAAAAACTAGTCAAAAATTTAAATCAATTTGTAGACTTGCAAACTTGTTATGTAATTAATCATAATTGGGAAAGTATTATAGCTAATAGTAATGGTGATATCAATATTTGCAACCAAAAGACACCGTTAATTGTTTATTTGATATTTTAGTATTAATTCAGTAATAATTGAATTAAAGTATCTCGTTTAGTATAACCATGCAAATCTGGTATTTGACGTGTGGTAATTGGCAAAAGTATAGTGATAAAAGGAGTTATTTCAAAATAACTCATTGCCCAAATAACTTCAGTAAACTGTTGTCAAATGAGTTATTTGTAAAATTGTTCGAATTATCCTACAAATTGAACCATTAAAGATTAGCTATCAAATTTAGTAAAATTATTGTGACTTCAATCATAACTTACTCAATAGCATATATCCTATACACTTAGCCTTACCCTCAATCAACAATATTAAGTTAGTATATGTTGTTGATTGTATACCCTAAACCATCAATACATTATACACTAACCACATAACCAATACCCTAACCATATGTCCTTGAGTTGTGATTTTGCTAGTATAGTTAATTTAAAAGTGAAATTCATACTTTGATTTTCAAAATATAGATAAAAAGTGATATTTGCTAATTGTTATACCCTAACCATATATCCTATACTTTACACCACATACCTTGTGCCCTAACCACGTACCATAAACATAAATTAAAAAGGGATCTCCTATCGTTAAAGACTTCAAATAACTTCAAGTGAACATATGTTAATAAGAAACTTAGAACCGTCAAAACCATCAATATCTTATACCCTAACCATATACACCCTAAACCATATGTACCTTCTACCTTATACTCTAACCATATACTTTATATCCTAAACAACGAACCGTCAAAGATTACTTATCAAGTTTAGTATAAATTGTTGTAACTAATGGTTAATTCATTTATTAGCCCATAAACAATTACATACATATATACATATTAGCCTTCAAAGCATATAAGAATAATTTTAACTAGTCATTCCCTCCATATAAAAGTTAAAGATTCATATTTCAAAAGCTAAAATTATGAAAAATAAAAAAATTGAAAACACCAAATTTGTTTCCTTCTTTCTTTTCACAAACATATTAAAATTTCCCTCCTTTTTTCTCCTTCCATACATTAGAAAAATTCAATTTTCCCTCCTCTTTTCTCTTCCATAAAATTGAAAGAACCAAATTACCCTCTTCTTTCCTTCTACAAAAAGTTGAAAAGTCAAAAGTTTCCCTCCTTATTTCTCTTTCATAATCAAAAGAATCAAACTTTCTCACTTCTTTCTCTTCCCACATATCAAAACCACCAAAATTCCCACTTGTTTCTTTTCTAAAAAAAAATTCAAAAAACCAAATTTCCCTCTTCTTTCTCTTCCCAAAAACTTGAATACACCAAAATTTCCCTCTTCTTTTAAAAACATCAAATTACCAAATACATTACTTTACTTTATTTATATTTAATTGATAATTTTATTGAATAGTTAAATTAACCAAAATTTTAATTTATATATTATATTAATATTGTCATGATCTCAAGTGACCTTCATGTTTCAATTTTGGTAATTTTCTTAAAATACGTAATATCAAGTGAGTTTCATATTTTTTAAATTTCTTATACGAAATGAAAAAATAATTTTACTTAAGTTTAGAATGAAAAACTTTATTTTGAAAAACTATGTATTGTATATTTTTATAATTATTCAAGTGGATTAGATGAAATTCGGGTTGAGTCGGTCGGGTTACGGGTTAGTCGGGTTCGGGTCAATCGGGTTCGGGTTAATCGGGTTGCGGGTCAATCCTCTTCCAATTGCGCCACCACTAGCCTCTTCGTATCTATCCCTTCCTCTCCCCCTACTAGTAGTAATCCAATTTCACCGCTACTTATGGCTTCCCCACGGCCTACCAAGCAGATTTTAACTACTTCCGAACCCCCCTCCCAGGAGATTCCAACAACTCTCGCACCCCTCCCAAGCCTCCTCTATTTGGATCTGGAGAATTTCTACCCTCCTTCCCCTCCCGACTCCAAATTCTTCAATCACCAAACTTCGCCACGGCCGCAACTACCACCACCTCGATGAGGACGATGATAGGAGGACAAAGACTGGAATCGAATGGTCAGAGTACAATTTCTTCCAGAAGTCGAGCAACCCACATATGATGGAAACCCCACCACCGCCCATAAGCAGTACAATGTCGTCGACGAAGAGAAGGAAGAAGCTCAATGTAGCGAGTGGGCGGGGGGTCACGATCGTTACAGCACAACCAGCTTGTCTGACGGCGGAGTAGAAGACGACGACAAGGCGGCCAAATCTGAGATTGGGACGAGGTTGAATTCTGCGGGATCGATGCGAGCAGAGTTTGTGAAGCATTATCCTCTGCAAAATCATAAGCATTCAGCGAGTTTCAGGACTAGTGAGATGCCCGATATAAAAATGGTAGTGAGGCCCAAGAATTTGAAGGCGATTACGGAGGCCATTAAGGAGAATTTCGAGAAGGCTGCAGCCGCCGGCGACCAGCTGTCGGAGCTGCTCGAAATCGGAAGAGTACAACTTGATCACTGGTTTAGAGTAAACTTTTTTTATTTTTTTAAATTGATGTGTCATTAGTTAACGGTCCAGTCAACAGTTATGTTTGCCACGTCATCAAAAAACTGACCGCGTTAACGGAGACTAACGGCTGGTGACTAAACGGTGAAACGATTTTTAAAGTTAGTGGTGAATAAGAAAGAAAAGTAATTTCGGTGACAAACATGAAATATTTATGTAATTTGAGTACCAAACATATAATTTAGCGAATGACAAAGGGGATTGCTATTCGTTGCCCTAAAAATCTTTATTCGTCGCCCTAATTATGTTAATTTTACTCTATTGTCCTTAGTTATTTTTTTGTCTTTTTGTCTTTCAAATACAGCAGACAGGTTTTCAACCTTGTCGTCGGAGAGGGTGGGACAGGTCGGCAACCCGTCGGGGGCGTTTATCGGGGGGAAAAAACAGCAGCGGGTCGGCGGCTGGGGGAACGGCAGCGACAGATTGGGCAATCGACTTTTTTAGAAATCGGATAGCAATGGCTATCAACGGATCATTACTAACCACCATGGAAGAACAATATTCATCCGCCGCCGCGACACCACCACACCACCGACTTACTATTCTCATCTCTCCATATAAAGAACAGAGAGCGTTGAATTACATTAAAAATAAAACCAGAGAGCAATGGCTATCGCGAAATGGAAAAGCCATCTGATGCATCTTTATTTAATCAAAATGGAGAAAGTTTCAATATTCAATTACAATAACCATATTTATAGTAAACCTATAAGAGCTATCGAGAGTAATGGCTATCAACGGATCATTGCTAAC